GCGGAACACGGTCCTTCCCCGGTTCCCTGGGCTTCTGGCCCTCATTCCAAACCACGGGGCACGCGAAGGTGGGAGAGTCCCCGGCGTGTGTTCACACGAGTGCGCGCAGCCCGCAGAGCAGAAGCACCGTGGCCACGCAGTGGGTGCAGAGTTAGGAGTTGCGGGAGCCCATTAAAAAGCGGCGCCAACCTCCGGACCCGGACCCGGAGATGCGCTCTCTCCAGCCGGGGAGACTCGGCGGGCGCACAGTGGAGCAATGGGTCCGCTGGCAACTCAGAGGCGCATGTGAATCGCTCCTGAGAAATTCCTGCCTGGCTCAAGTGTCCCTGTGTCTCAGGAAGACTTGGCGTTTTCCTTTTACTTGTCTCAAAAAATGCAAAGTCCTTCTTACATTCCCTGGATCCAGGCCAGGGGTGAAATGGGGCTTGGGTTTCTTTTTTCCATTCCAAGACGAATTTGCTAGAGTTGCTTAAACGCATGTTTTACCTGCTAACTTGTTATCTGCAGGTATTGAGCATCTTAGCAAAAACATGAAATGTTGGACATTTGCTGTTGCTCAGGAAGTAGCTGGAGTTGTCACCATGTGTTCAGGGGACAGTGGGGAGGTAGACTGTCAGGCAGTGGACTGGAGGTTGGAAGAGGACCGAGGGACTGGGAATGCTGGCCTGTTCCGGAGAAAGTGTCCAGCCCCCAGGCCGCTAGTGACCGCAGGGACTCCACCTGGATTCCACCTGGGCTCGGTTAGGGTGCCCTCCTGCAGGCCTGGGTTGCTCTCTGGGATGGGACCTAACTTGTAAGTGGCAGGCCTGAGGTGAGGGAGAACCTTTCTGTAATGCTGGGCTGGGAGCTCAGGCATGCTCTGGCCAGTAAGAAGGTGCCTGCTGGAAAACCTCACTTCCTCCCCCAGGGGACAAATGGGGAAGAGCGAGCTGCACTCCTCCAGAAGTTTGCCCGTCTCCCTCTTCCCAGTGGGTGAGGTCCTGCCTCTGCTCAGGGCTAGCACAGCAGGGCGAGCTCCCAGGGCTGCAGGCAGGGGCAAGGAGTGGGGAAGCAGCCTGGGACTCTGCGGATGAATTATCCAGCCTGGGCACAGGGGAGGGTCTGGCCCTGGCATTTCTTGTCAGCACTCACCTCTCCCATTAGCGGGTGAGTGTGGGAGGGAAATCCCTTCCCTTCTGGGCAGTGGTGCACGCTCAGCACTTTCTCTCTGGGCAGCTGGGTGTTACCGCCTGACATCACTCACTGGCTCATAACGTCTATAGTTTGTGCATAAACCCAGCTAGTCCAGAAGGTCAAGACAGGAATTGCAATAAACATCCATGGTATTCCAAACCAGTGAGCAAGGCAGGCCTGTGTCTCCTGGTAGACAGATGTGTTCTTGTGTGAAGAGCAGCCAGAGATCAGATGACCTCACGCTTGATCTTCAGGAATATCCTGTAAGGGCCTATGGAGGCTCTTGTGTGTTGGTACTTCTGATCCAAAGAAGAGCTAGAATTTCTTCTCTGATCCGATCACTGCGAAGCCCTTGTCTGTGTGATCTTTCCCCACCACACACACATTAAGATGGTTATTCAGTGTAAGGTCCCTCTTTACCTGACCATCACATTCATCTTACTACTTCGGGATTTTCTATAACTGACAACTTGGTGAACATTAAAAGAAATTACAGTTGTCCACAGAAACAGCATCAAATGTATTGTACAGAGAGGAGGTAAATGGGCAAAACTTGACGTAAGGAAGGCCATGAGAGCTAGCCTGACCACAGCTGCTGGGGTGGAAATTCCCTGGGATGCCTGGTTCCCTGTGCTGCCAGAAGTATGTTGCTTTTACGATCCCTAAAGAGCCCTTTAACCTGCCCAGAAAAAGTGATGTAGATTGCAAATGCACTTGAAGAAAGGATGCCCTTTGCTTTCCTGGTGTGCCTTCCTTTAAGAAACCCTGCGAGGCTGGCTGGTTCCCTGTACGCCTTCATGGAGGTTCCCTGGCATGTCTTTTTAAAATCCAATTATGCGCTCCTTGCATTTGTTCCTTGCTATTTAAACCTTGCTGCTCAAAAGTGTGGGCTCTTTGAGCTCTTAGAAATGTGAACTCTCCGATTCCACTGAGATTACTTGAGACCAACTCTGCATTTTAACAAGATCCCCAGATGGTTCCCTACAAAAGGAAATGGGGAGCTCCTTGCCTCAGTGTATCTGAAATCTGTCTCTTTTTTGAACCTGAGATTTCATGTACCCGATTTGTTATGGGTATATAAGCTTTCAGAATTATCCCCTCTGAAATCTTGAAAGCCTTGCTTTTTTGTTACTTCCACCTGGACACTTGTAAAACCAATCCCAATTATTGCTTGGATTTCTGAACTAAGAAAGACGACACAGGAAATTTCCTGTGCCCAGGCCTGGCACAGATGTGTCCATGGGACGATGACACAATCGCTTTGCCCGGGGCTGGAAGCTTGACATTGATCACATTTAATCCTCACAGCCACCATGTGTGGATTCTTCCACAGGCCCCGTGTGGCCTCTGAGTTTGGGCCCCTCAGCTTCCCTGCCACTTGCCATTCTTCCTTGTAATTTCTAGGGGACCCAGAACCATGGCCCCGTGGCCGGACTCCAGCCTGGGAAAGCCTGCACTGGGTTGGCTCTTAGGCCAGGTGGCGGAAGTGGAAGTCAAAAAGATGCCTCTTCCTTGATACCCTGTCGTGTTTCTCCACTTGGGTTCCCCATGGGGAAGGTGTAATGGGTGAAAGGGAGTGTAAGTTTATGAGGTGTGTTTTAAGGTGTCCTTTCTAAGGCAGCAGCTGGCAGCAGACAGCCACCCAGAAGCCCACAGTCTGAGCCTTGACAGGAAAGGTGCATGGTGACCAGCATATTCTTTTAAAATAACATGAGGATGTTGCTTCTTAGGACATCTGAGTGAGCATGGTACCTTGTGGGGAGTTAGGACTTCAATAGGACGGGGTCATGGGTACAGAAGAGCCCCGAGTCTTGGGATTGAATCCTGATGCCACTATGTGACCTGGAGCAAGTTATTCAGTTTTTCTGGGTGTTTCCTCATAAGAGCCTCAGTCTGTGCCTTGGGCTCTTTTAAGTGCTAATTGCTCTTAACATCTATCACCCAGAAATGGCCCGTGGGATGTCATGACTGCTGTACACACCTGAGCTTCTCAGATGTAAATGTGTTTGGAATCACAGGAGACCTCCCTGAAGGCAAGTTCGGGCCCTGCAGGTCTGCAGGGACCTCCAACCCTGTTTCTAAGGAGTTGCCTGGGGTGCAGCTGAGTTGCACGTTGAGAACAGGCTCCCAGTGCTGTGTTCCTGTCCTGGGGCGGAGAGAGCCTGGGCTCAGAGATGCTGTCACTGCCCACAGTTACTCAGCGCTGGGACCGGGCCCAGGCTCCCTGCACACCCGCTGCTTTGCAGACTCGAGCTCCGAACTCCCTTTCTCTGCACTGCCCTGCTCGGGCGGAACCTGGGCTCGGCTGTGACTGTTGCTCCGTCTCTACTGAAAAGAAAACTGTGAGCTGACTAGGGGATCGACCCCCAGAGGAAGAGAGGGGACTGAACATGTTTCCCTGACTCTCGCCACCTGGCTTTGTGACTTCAGGCAAGGTTACCACTCTGCTCAGCTGTAACCCACTGACCCTCCGGGGTTCAGAGGTCAGTGAAAGACTGAGCTCCTCCGCAGGAAGCCGACCCATGTTACTATTGAGTCACTTTTTCACCAACATGAACTATGGAAGCAAAGCTGCCGTCCCAGTCGGGCCCTGGTCAGG